GGACGTAAATACGAATGTGTGAAGTGTCGATGAGATAACTAATTATAAAAAAAGAGCTACTAATTAACTTCTCAACCTTTTTGTTTTAGCTGGCATATTTTAATTAGAGGTCTACAGCCCATTGTTTACTAAAGCTAAAGCAGTTTAGACATACAAGGTCTACTTCGAGTTATTTCATGATATGTTTTGCCATTCAGACCAGCGGAAAATTGGAACTAAAGTAGAAAATAACTCGCCAGGAGCGGAAGCCGTTTCGGAGACAATGAGGCGTCAAATTGTGAGGAATGATGACGTGTGATTGCTGTGAACGCGTGACCGAAAGCTTTGGCCCAATCCCAAATTGGCTTGCTGCCTGCTTCTGCAAGCGAATATGGGGTAGGGTTCAAGCTTATCGTAAACCCAGATATTCGTCTCTTTTATAGTTGTAAAAATTTATACAAGAAAACGAAATGCGCCCGTTTCCGTATGTGAGAGACGCACGTGATAAGTTTCCGTTTTTTTCTAAGCTCGTATTTTTTCTAAGTTGGTTTCGAGTTCCAACTCCCGTGATTGCCAAAATGTGCCACGCAATAACACGAAGTAGTATTTCTTGTCTGAGATATCTCAACTGCTTTAGTTTTAGTACACAACGGGCTTCAAATATCAAATTAAGACAGACTACCCAAAGCAGAAGACTAATAAGTTAATTAATGACTTTCTTGTTAATTACTTTTTTAATGAGCACTTTGCACTTGCGTTTTAGGTTTGCCGCCATGACCAACGTAATCCCGAAAATATTGCGTTTTTTTTCAAGATTTCTTAAAAAAGAATAAACTCTCACTCTTACGTGAAACACCCTGTACTATAAGTAATAACTTCAATGACCAAAGTTTTACATACTCCTAAGTCTGTGTCTCCTCGTTAACATCCCGACGGAGCGTAGTCAATGATGATGCCAACCGCTCCGAATCCGGAAATCGCTCCATCGTGCAAAAAACGCGTAATAAAGAAAACAAAAAAAACTTTTAGAGGCAGTAAAAAAAAAAAGAAATATCGAGTCGATTGAGAAACGTCGCTTTAAACACGGCCTGCTCATTTCCACGTTTGATTTTATATATTGCGTGCATTTCCCTGCTTCCAACGTCTACCATCCGCTCTTTGGGCTACCGTTCCAAAGATTCTTTGGCGCGACGACTCAGTTTCGCCCGTAGGAACCTCGGCGTCCTGCTTGAATCAGCCTTTGAGCGACGTGGCGGCAATCAAACAAATCTCGTCGGTATTTTTTTTTTTTTTTCACATTGTCGAGGAGTTTTGAAGAGCAGCAAGAAGGAATATGGGACTCAATACAAACGCACAACTATGAGGTGGCAAGGTAAGGAGGCAGCGGAAAGTGTCTTAAAAATTTGGTTTGTTTTAGATTAAAGTGGTTTTGGAAAAAAGAAAAGGTACGGGGAACCTCCGCTTCGAATGCGACGTTTTTGTACGCCTCACGAATATGTTTTATTGTCTTTCGACGCTCCTTTCGAGGATGTCTTCCTTCGCTTGCATAGATAGCATCCTACATGTCTGTGGTGTTATACAGAGTGTCAGTTTTCTTGTTTCCATTTCGGTCTTTGTTGTCTTTCGAAGTTTACCGAAACCAGATCAAAAAAGTCCTTTTTTTTGTTTGTTTTTTGTCTGACTTCAAAAAACGTCTCGTTCATACTTTTTGTTTTGTTTCTAGTAGGCGCCCTTAATCCATTTTTAGCTGTTTTTCCCCCTTGTTTCGAGAATTCACCATGAAGCTTGCATAAGTAGATGCTTGCTTCTTTACTTCCTCTCTGGTTGCCTTAAGTGCTGTCTTTCTTACCTTGCCGTATTTGTTTGTTTTTGTTGCCCTATGTCTTTTGTTCCGACGGTTTGAGGACCGCTACGCAGCTACTCAAGTTTCTTCCTGTCAAAAAGTGTGAATATTTTTAAATGAATATAACAATAATACAAAACAAAACCTCATCCGCCATGGCATTCACTCTAACAAGCTCTTTCAATAGCCGACGTGACTTTATTCAATCTCGGATTGAGTTGGACGCGCTATCCTATCAAGCTTTGCTACATTCGTTTAATTTTATTATTCAAAATGTAAAAATACAATTGACATCGTGTGTTAAAAAAAAAAAAACAAAAAAAAACATCGTATATGGAAGTGTTCTTATTTTTTTTTTTTTTGGGGGGGGGGGAGGGGTGGAGGCTAGTATTTTGAGTTGCGCCTTTTAAATTTATTATCATCCGAAGTCAAGGGGGAAAGCCTTCATCATGTGTGTTCGTTGGACATTTGTTTTTAATTTTTCTGTGTATGTTGTATTTATATTACAATATATCTAGTTCTTGAAAGGCGGTTTTTACAAAAGAATCGTTGTTTTTATTTTTTTTGTGATTTGTTAACATGGCACTGCTCCACTTTTATTGATCGGCTTCACCACACACTCATTCTTGCTGAGAAAAAGTACGCTTTACAAAACACTGCGAGTGTTTGAATTCGTTCTACATGATTTATTTTCGATCCCTATACAGGGCCACGCCAGTTACCGGACGTTGTTTCATTCCCCCCGAAAACACGTATAACAATCGAATGCAAGATCGTATCAGCGTCTTTAGCAATGCCTTTCGCCTCTGTTCGTTCTCGGTTGGTGTAACCTTGTTTCGGTAACCCAACTCAGTCGTATAATTTATTCAGGGAGTGTTTGTGCATTACGAAACTGTCCAAGAGTGTATTCATCGCACCACAGAAACTGGCGGTCATGCTATGTGAATTTGTATAAAAAAAAGATAATGCTAGAAATGTTGCAGCACGTGTGCCTCTATATGGATACCCCCCCCCCCCCCCCCCTCCCCCCAATAATGTCCTCACAATGGCGTAAGCGGCGTGCATTTTGCGAAAACCCTCGGCATTTCCGAACGAAACCTGTGGGCTGCTTCTCGATAACTATATGGCAAAGCGGTATTTCAAAATTTAGCCAATATCATTCTAGCACGATGGTTTCAAATTTCCTTTCCACTGGGACACCTGTCCTTGTCTAGCGTTGCTCTCTCTGCGTGGTCACGTTATGCGACGAAGCCCCATTCAGTCGTGTAAAACTTCAAGCAGGGCCTCGGTGACGTTATTTTGAGGGTTATACGTGACATCGTTAATCAGGTTGGACATCTAAGTTGTTTACGTTTCATATAAACACAAAATTGCTTCCGAACTTGCGGATAATTATTCTGTACGAATACCAATCAACAACAACAATTTCATCTTGAAGGCGCTTGCTAGTTATTCCTGTTGTCCTCAAGGGACGCTCTAAGAGAGCAATCACTCTGTTAGAGGCTTCCAAACTTTATTAATTTATTGATTGCAATATTCATTGTCTGCTTCACGTAGGCTTACAAACAACCCAAGGGTTTTTTTTTTGCTTAATCTTTGTTTAGATTCCTCCACCAAACAAACGCCCGCTTTTCCTGCCGTGTTCATTCATGAACCATAATATCTGAGGCACTTCGGAGAGGCTTGAGTTTAGAGAGGGAGAAACTGAAACCGTGCGGATAACTGCATTTCAATGGCCCACACCTCCTGGGTAGATATGCTGACCATGCGGATCCGTGAGTCTCTGAGTGGCGAGGAGCAAAGCGCTCGGTAAGGCTTAGCAAAGGTTGGAGACGCTTGCGGACGATGAACGCTTTCGCCTCCTATTTGCAGTCTTTATTACGAACGCGGCTCATAAACCGCGTGACTCCAATCGAGGAGTTTGAAAACACTCTCAAATTTAGACACACTACTAGGCCACTCTTGGGCTGTTCGCGCCCTCGGGCGGCCCAGCATTTCATTCGCTCGACGGCAAGCCATTTTCTGCGCAAATAACTGGAAAAACCAGCGGGTCAATATTTTTGCGGTTCGGCGATGAATGGCTCGCCCCTGTTCACCTGCCTGGTTGCTTGACCCCGGTGTGAAAGTAGGCTGTAACGAACGACCTTCGCGGCCGGACCTGGACGCGGATCGCCACCCCTTTTGTAACATTCCCGAGGACGCGCCTTTCGCTGACAATCTCAAGCTGGGATTATTTTCCCCGCTGCCCTGGTACCGTCGACAAAAGAGCAAGACAAGCCGTCGTCGACACCGGCTCAAGTTGGGTGCTGAAACGGAAATGCGTTCTCTTTGAGGCGTCCAAGCAGGAACCAACGGCCACGGTGATCCCTGCTAAGCCGAAAGAAGGAGATAAGCCGTGAACGGGAACTGCCCGGATATCGGCGTCCAAGGTCTTCTCCGTCCCGACTAGGGAGTGGGACGGTATCCTCCGGGCGTTCGTGCTCTCTTAGAGCCAACAAAAGGATTAACCGGTGTGTCCGTTTGGGCGTGCTCATAGGCGGTGCCCGGACGTTTGGGAATGAGCTTCTCGGTGTCACCTCGACCTAGATTCCAGGAGCAAGGCCAAATCTCAAGCGTCACTGAAGAAACGGCTGCCACTATACAAGCCTGGAGGAACCGGAAGAGCACTTATCCTCTGTGTGTGCGTGTGCGTGCGAGTGGGCGGTGCCTGACCAGTTGGGGAACGTCGTCCTGGCCTAGGGACGTAGGGAAGGGGGACATTATAAAAAGAGCGGTTTTACGCTCCCTCTTCGTGTTCTCACGTTGTTCTCATGCCGAACGGCAGACTGTACATAGTATGTAAATAAACAGTTTGAGAAAAGACACCCTGGCTCGCTACCAACTCTGCCCGATGTCCTGGGCGACGCATGGCTCCAGCGGAGATCGACATGGACAAGCCCCGAGTCTTTACAACTGGATGGCGGACGGTGGGATCGACAGCTACGACCATTGAGCGGCAGCAACAACGGATCTCATGGGCCGTGAGCCGAGTCTGGTGAGTGACGGCATCTTTTCTCTGTCGCCAGGCCTGTAAGATCGAGGTGTATTTTGCAGGGGCGTAAGTAACTACCGAAAAGGCAATTTTAAGGTTGTTGTGTGTCGGTAGTGCAGAGTTTTGCCACCCAGATAGGTCACAGACATGGATCTGCAGCGTTTGCTAAAGTGTCAGTTGCTCGACTTGTGTGAGGAGCTCGGGGTAGACGCGAACACATCGATGAAAAAACCGGAGCTTGTTAAGGCTATCCAGGACGAAAATCTTGACAACGAGGAAATCGAAGAGATGTGGGAAAAAATCAAAACAAAAAAAGGAGACGAAGCAAAATTCAAGGAATTAGAACTAGAAAAACTTCGTCTCGAGGTGGAGCTAAGGAAAACGAGCGGAGGACGGGAAACGGAGGTAGAGGGCACCCGAAGTCTCTATGACATGACGAAGCTTATTCAGGCTTTCAAGGTGGGACAGGACATGGGCCTCTACCTGGTAAACTTCGAGAGAGCTTGCGAGAGGGCCCGTTTTAATCGGGTATCTTGGGCCAGAAGGTTGCTGAGTGTTCTGCCATGCGAGGCAGCCGGGGTAATCGCGAGGTTATCCGCGGACGACTCGGACGACTACGATCGCGTGAAGAGCTGCCTGCTAAAGAAGTACCGGTTGTCGGCAGAAGCGTTCAGACAGAAGTTCAGGGGCGTGACCAAAAAGTCGGAAGCCAGTTATGCGGAGTTCGCATACGAACTTCGGTCGTACCTTGTCGAATGGATGAAGGTCGCCGAGTCGTATGACGACAAAGAGAAAATGCTGGAGACGGTCGCGCTCGAACAGTTCTATAAGACTCTTCCTGAAAGCATGCGAACCTGGATTCAAGATAAGTCAGGAGTAGACTCTGTTTATCGAGCCGCAGACCTTGCGGATGAGTACAGTTCCCGTAGAGGCGGAAAAGAGGGAATGAGGAGAACCTTTGAGAAGGAAAGCGGAGATGAGCGGAAAAAAGGGGGCTGGAAAAGAACAGAGTCGCGAAAGGAGGAAGACAAGGAGGAGAATATCTCCACGACCTCCCGGGGCAACGGGCCAGACAGTCAGCAAAAGAAGAAACCCTTTGAGGCCAGGAGGCCGATAAGGTGCTTCAATTGCCATGAAACTGGGCACATTGCCGCGGGATGTCAAAAACCAAAGGTGGTTTTCGCCTTAGCGAGTAAGTGCGAGGAGAATGAGGAGCTCCTGAGTCCGTATCTTTTCGACATGACAGTGAACGGAAAGTCGTGCCGCGTGTTGCGCGACAGTGGGGCTACCATTGACCTAATTCACCCGTCGTACGTTACTGAGACCCATTACAATGGGAAATGTAGCTGGATCAAGTCTGTGCTGGACGAGGGGAGCGTGTGTCTCCCTGTGGCCGATGTTCTGATTTCTGGACCATTCGGAGAGGTGCGTACTGAGGCGGCTGTTTCAGACAAACTGCCGCCACAGTACCCCTACCTATTTTCGAACCGAACAGACAGGATTTTGAAAGAACAGGGCAAGAGCCTCGGGGAGGGACTCGTTCAAGCGCTCACGAGGGCTAAAGCTCGCGAGATTTCCACGCGGCTCAGTTATGACGAGGCTAGCCCAGGAAAACCGAAGGATCCGCCGACGGGGGTCTCGGAGCAAACCAGTTCCGGGGAAGCAGAGAAAGACCGGGGGAGTGAGGAAAACGTCGCGGTCGAAAAAGAAACTCGCCAAGAGCAGCTAACCGAACTGGACGAGTTAATATTGCCCCCGACGTCGGGAAACTTTGAGAAACTCGTGTCCGTAACGAAGGAAGTTCTGATCAAGGAGCAAAAAGCTGATCCTAGTCTAGATAAGGTGTGGGAAACCTCCAAGGAGGGCGTGGCCAGGAAAAACGTTTCATTTCCTGTCCGTGATGGTGTGCTGTACCGACACTACCGAGATCGGTCGGGTCGCACGTTCGATCAGCTGGTAGTGCCGGAGAAATATCGAGCGGATGTGTTGCGCCTGTGCCACGGAGCGGGATGGTCCGGTCACTTGGGCAACAAAAAGACGAAAGATCGGCTCCTCACGGAATTCTACTGGCCGGGATGCTTCCGAGATGCCGAGTCTCAGGTGCGGGCGTGCGATGTCTGTCAGAGAGTGGGAAAACCCAATGAAAAATGCAAGGCGCCCCTGAGACTTGTGCCGATAATCTCGGAGCCATTCAGGCGGGTGGTCATTGATGTGGTGGGTCCTCTTCCGGCTACTAAGGGGGGGTACCGCTATGCTCTAACGGTCATGTGCGCGGCTACCAAGTTCCCCGAAGCGGCCCCCATGAAGGAACAGAGTTCAGTGGAGGTGGTGAACGCACTTCTGTCAATTTTTGCGAGGGTAGGCTTCCCCCAAGAGGTCCAGAGCGACCAAGGGAGCGTTTTCACAAGCGCTTTGACTACTGGTTTCCTCGAGAGGTGCGGTATAAAGGTTATACACAGTTCAGTATATCACCCGCAGTCAAACAGTGTCGAGAGGTGTCACTCAGTTATGAAGCGGGTTCTGAGGGCGCTAACTTATGAGAGTGGGAACGAATGGGACGCCTGCCTGCCGGCAATGTTGTTCGCGCTGCGCTCCGTGACTCACGAGGCAACCGGCTTCAGCCCGGCCGAACTAGTGTATGGACGGTGTTTGCGGACTCCCCTGCGGCTGCTCCGCGAAACTTGGGAGACCAAGGGATCCGATCCGAGTGTGGTAGAGTACATTCTTGATCTGCTAGAGCGATTCCGAAGCACGAGTGAGATAGCGGAGGTTAATATGCGCGAGGCCCAGATCAGAGCGAAACGGTATTACGACCGAAACGCCCGTGTCCGGGAGTACCGGGCGGGCGATCAAGTCCTCTTGCTTCGTCCCTCACGCCAAAATAAGCTACAGGTGCAGTGGGAGGGACCATTCAAGGTGACTCAAAAGCTTTCGGATACTAACTACGCAATCGAAACCAGAGGCAAGAGAAAGGAAATCAGAATCTATCACTGCAATCTGATGAAGCGTTACGTGAGCGAAACGGAAGTGGTGAACTTGACACTAAACGCCCCAGAGGAAGTTCAGACTGATGTTCCGCTACTTTGGGAGGCTGGAGCGCCGGTCGGAGTAAATGAAGTCATGGCTCAGGCGGTTCGTTCGGAGGATCTTTCGGTCTCACAGCGGGCTGAATTGAGAGATCTTCTGGAAAAGTACGAGAACTTGTTCTCAATGTCTCCCGGACGAACCTCCCTTGCCACGCATGACATTGAGCTAACATCAAACGTCGCGGTACGATCCCGTCCCTATCGCATGTCACCAAGGCAGCAGGCTATCTTAAAAGACGAGGTGGAGCGCATGCTGCACTTAGGGGTAATCGTTCCGTGTGAAAGTGATTACTCTTCCCCTATGATCATCGTAGAGGCTGCGGGAAGGGATCCCCGACCATGCATTGACTATCGCAAACTCAATGCAATCACCAGAGACCAGGCTTACCCGATTCCCAACGTGGAGGAAAGAGTTGAGACGGTTAGTGGGGCTAGATACGTTTCGACTTTAGACCTAGTGCGCGGATACTGGCAGGTCCCGATGACGGAAAGAGCTAGCCATTACGCAGCCTTCGTGACCCCAACGGGCACATTCCGCCCGTTGGTTTTGAGCTTCGGCCTTAAAAACGCTCCGTTCTGTTTCTCGCGAATGATGGACAGAATTTTGCGTGGGGCGGAAAGCTACGCGCTACCGTATCTAGACGACATCGCCATTTTTTCGACAACTTGGGCAGATCACATGAACCACCTTTCTGACGTATTTGAAAGGTTGAGGAGCGCGGGTCTAACCGCGAAACCAAGTAAGTGTCAGCTGGCGAGAGGCGAGGTTAGATACCTCGGCCATATCGTGGGTCAGGGGCTAAGAAGGCCCGACGAACTCAAGGTTGAGGCTGTAAGAGACTTCCCGCGACCTGAGAAAAAAACTGGCATAAGGGCTTTTTTGGGGCTGACGGGGTATTACCAACGCTATATCCCTCAGTACTCAGAAAAGGCTAGCCCCCTAACCGATGCGCTGCGGAAGACCGAACCCGATAAGATTCGATGGGACGACAAAAAAGAACAGGCCTTCCAGGGCTTGAAAAATTCCCTCTGCTGTTCCCCCATACTTCGGGCCCCGGATTATAGTCGCTCGTTTATAGTGCAGTGCGATGCCAGTAATCGCGGCTTGGGGGTGATTTTATGTCAGGAGGATGATGCGGGAGAGGAGCACCCCGTGCTGTACGCAAGCCGGAAACTCAGCAGCCGAGAGGAGGCTTACAGTGCGTCGGAAAAGGAATGCGCCGGCTTAATTTGGGCAACTCAAAAGCTCTCTTGTTACCTTTACGGAGCTCCGTTCGTTTTCGTCACCGACCACTGTCCTTTGACATGGCTAACTCAAATGTCGACAAAAAATGCCCGACTTCTGCGGTGGAGTTTGGCTTTACAAGAATTAACCTTCACGGTTAAGTACAAGAGGGGGGCGGCTAACTCCAACGTAGACGGACTTAGCAGGTCGTTTTGAGATTATTTGTTCTGGATGTTGCCTTGCAAGTTGGGCCAAATTTTAAAAAGTTTCATTGCGTTTTCTTTTACTTTTTGTAATCTTCACACATGTCAACGATTTCGCTTTGTGCAATGTTGCCCTATGGCGGGCTTTTCTTGGTGGTGTCAATGGCAGAAAAAGTGATAGGTTTATTGCCGCAGAAAAAGGCCTGGCGGTTGGGGAGAGGGTGCTGCCGCTCGCTGGATTTGGTTGTAGCGGTTCGTGTCTCTGTTGATGTGTTGGCTACTCACGACGATTTCGAAGCTGATCTCTCCAGGAAAGCAGCTGATACTCCTCCCCTTCCGAGATCTGCCTTTGCGTGGAGGAGCTGTAACGAACGACCTTCGCGGCCGGACCTGGACGCGGATCGCCACCCCTTTTGTAACATTCCCGAGGACGCGCCTTTCGCTGACAATCTCAAGCTGGGATTATTTTCCCCGCTGCCCTGGTACCGTCGACAAAAGAGCAAGACAAGCCGTCGTCGACACCGGCTCAAGTTGGGTGCTGAAACGGAAATGCGTTCTCTTTGAGGCGTCCAAGCAGGAACCAACGGCCACGGTGATCCCTGCTAAGCCGAAAGAAGGAGATAAGCCGTGAACGGGAACTGCCCGGATATCGGCGTCCAAGGTCTTCTCCGTCCCGACTAGGGAGTGGGACGGTATCCTCCGGGCGTTCGTGCTCTCTTAGAGCCAACAAAAGGATTAACCGGTGTGTCCGTTTGGGCGTGCTCATAGGCGGTGCCCGGACGTTTGGGAATGAGCTTCTCGGTGTCACCTCGACCTAGATTCCAGGAGCAAGGCCAAATCTCAAGCGTCACTGAAGAAACGGCTGCCACTATACAAGCCTGGAGGAACCGGAAGAGCACTTATCCTCTGTGTGTGCGTGTGCGTGCGAGTGGGCGGTGCCTGACCAGTTGGGGAACGTCGTCCTGGCCTAGGGACGTAGGGAAGGGGGACATTATAAAAAGAGCGGTTTTACGCTCCCTCTTCGTGTTCTCACGTTGTTCTCATGCCGAACGGCAGACTGTACATAGTATGTAAATAAACAGTTTGAGAAAAGACACCCTGGCTCGCTACCAACTCTGCCCGATGTCCTGGGCGACGCATGGCTCCAGCGGAGATCGACATGGACAAGCCCCGAGTCTTTACAAGGCGAAGTGTGTTTCGTGTATTCTAGAAAGGGTCAACGAAAGTTCCGAAGTCTCTTTCGACAGTTTGGCAGTCCGGTGGACTCTGCTGAGTTTTCTATGTTCCGTTTTACTGTTCCTTGAATGCGTTACGAAGGTATATATTTCTTACTCCGACTTACTGGAGGTGAGAACGAACACAACACGTACATAAAAAAGTACATCAGGTGAGGATCAGTCAAGCTAATTAGAAAGCTTTTTTTTCTCCCTCAGCTCCCACATCATTTTATGGTGAATAAGGCTTTTATTACTACCAATATCAATAATTTTATTTACACGTGCTGTACTTTTTTTTCGATGATCACTATGCTTTTTCTCATAAAATTGCATTAATTTTTTTTTACCTTCTCTAATTTCTTGTAACAAAAAAAAAAGGCAAGAGCTTATCTCTTGGTGAAACATTATTTGTATAGCTGGGATTATTGAAATTTGAACTAAGAGAAACGAAAAACCTCACAATCGAAAGTTTAAAACAAAAAAACCAACTGACTAAACACGTGCAGGGTCGATGGATAGAATAATCTATATTTTTGAACCCTCCAAACTGAACGGCGCATGAGCCCTTAGTCAGTGCTTTTATTACAACAGTTAGCTTATACCTAAGATAAATATAAATACAGTCAACCTTTTTAATTGTAATGCTGCATTGGTTGCGCGACAGCGCCCTCTACAGTGGGTGGAAAGGTGCTATATAATATGCACCTGGTGCAGGGTTTCTATTAAGACTTCTCTCGCCTGAAATGCCTGTTCCACGGAAAAAAGAAACACGCCTAAGGCCTGCAAAAAAGAAAGAATGGCAATACTTTTTATGTTGAGTTCTCCGCAGCATCAAAATTTCAAATCAAAGCAGTTAAAAAGAAACAAAAAAACAAAAACGAACGTATACTGTTTTTTACGAACGTTTTTTTCATTATTATACGTATTTCACATTCCTATTGTCTTGTTTATATTAAACGATGTAGATTTTAGCCCAGGCGAGTGTCTATAATTATAAAATTATTGTCAAAGTATGCAGTTGAATGAACCCTACGAATCTAGTGAAAATAAAATATATAAATTGCCGAAAAATAAATTATGCCAGACACTGGTTAGCATACATCACCGGTAATGAGGGGACCCAGAGTAATACCCCGCCCTGCCCAGCCTTGCGTCTTGGGGGCTCTTGTAGATTACATCTCCATTTGATCACTGCGGTTGATTCATGTGAACAATTTGACAATTTATTTTTTAGAGACCACGCAGACTACGAAAATTACGCGCGAATCATGAATACACCGGGTGTTTCAGCAAATCCTCAAAAACGACTAAAAATGGCTTTGTTGAAAAGAAAAACAAAGTCGTTCCGGGAACAAACTGCCAGACACAGATATAAGGTAGGTGCAACATTTTATAGCGCTCTCAAAAAATAAAAATCGCTATCATTGAGGTATTTAGCGCACGAGGCACAAGGCACAAGGTACCTTGTGCGCTAAACACCTCAAAATGTTAGACTACCAACTAGCCCAAATGTCAACTTTACTAAAGATCACTAAATTTTAAGTCGTTTCTAGGTTTCAGCTTTCTACCGGTACGTATAACTCTGCGCCAGCGGTCCTGCCCTCCAGTTGCCGAGGAGCGCAACGCACCATCCTACGAGGGAGGCGAGGCGGTTGCTTCGAAGGTCGGCCACGTGGGGGCAGGACCGCTGGCGAAAATGTTGCGCCCCGTTTGGAAACCGAAATCTAGAAACGCGTTCAAATTGACCGGTCATTTGGAGATCCGTAAAATGCTGCACTCGCCTTATAAAAAACCAAACATGAGTTGGCCTGTTTGTTTTCGATTACGCTGAATACGTGTTTATCGGAACCGTATGTGTATTCTCAAGAATTAAATATTTGCTAAATTTTAGTTAATTATTTATCTAATAGGTATGTTTTCTTTTAATATATGACGCCCGCCGTAGCTGGCCTTTTATTCGCGAATATTTGTTTTATTATTATGAATCCCGCTATTTTTTCACGATCTTTTGAATTTTTCGCTGAATCACCCGATAGTCCAACTCCCATAACAGGCGCATGTTCGCCAATATATACAGACAAACACGCGTCTCTGACGTCAAACTGGTGCGGTGGCGCTGCTGTCGTCACGGCGCATGCGCAAACGCTTCACCTGCGGCGAAGTTTGATTCCGCGCAAGCGCTGTGTCCACACCTGGCGTGGGCAAGGGGGTTTGGGAGCGCTATACGGGTCGTAAACAAACACAAATGACATAAAAACCCATGATCTGAGTTCAACAAAACTTTGTATAAAAACGTCTTTAGGTGGTTCGCTTGTCATACTTGAAATTTATGAGTGCAACATTTAGGAAAACAATTAGGGAAAAAATTAGAATTTACGAAAGGGGAAAATATTTTTTTCTGTGCAAAAAGGAGGACAATAAAAACTGTCTGGTGGACGCTACTGCTCAGAGCTGGAGCGACACCTAAATAAACAAGGTAGAGGCGTCTTTAAGATGAATACCCGAGAGCAGATATACCTGATCAGGCCGTGTGTAGCGCCATCTGTGAATAGTGGCGTGAGCCACTATTCACAGATGCGCCATTTTGTGTTTTGCGGTTTTCCTTCCTATGCATATAATAAATGGGGTTTAATTAGGATTATTTTTTTTCTTCTAAAAACCACACTTATAGAGTTTCATTACAATAAATGTAACCACATAAAGACAACTTTCTGAAAAGTTTTAGCGATGTAATCGCTGCAACCGCGCTTTAGATGCTGTTGTCGTAGCGATTAGAGCATGTTTAAGGGGCGTCTAATCAAAGAATTGCTTTATCTTTCTCTCTTTTTCTCTTTTTCTTTCTCTCCCTCATTCAGGCAACAAAAATAATTCGTTCGGCATCAAATATTTTTTTTTTACTTTCTTTTTTTTTTTTTTTTTTTAGGGGAGGGGGGGGGGGGTTTAATTTACCTTTAGCTTTCCCTCGCCGCCCTTAAAAGGAGGAAAAGTTAGACAGAGATGGGGCATTTTTGAAAGACGGCCTTCATCAATCACTTTCTTTGCTTACGCGGATGATTTGGCATAAGTAAAGATTGCAATGAGAGCCGAATATTGAAATAAACTAACGTCTTGCGCCCTGCCTCTGGATCTCAAACATAAATCATGGTTGGTCGATACATTTCAACGCTAATTTTCGTCACAATGTGGCTTTGTGTAAGCCTCAAATTTTGCGCTTGTCTCACGTTTCTTCTTTTTTATTATTATTTTGGATCCAGAAAAAAATATATATATTAAAGCGATTTTATGGTTTCAAGATTTTCACGCGTCACTTTTTATGCACTTTTTCATGTAATATACTGTGTTAATACCTAAATATGTAAGATATTTGTAATTTTATGCTTTATGTAATGCGGAAAAAAGAGGAATGTGGCAGAAGTGCTGACTCTTAACGCGGTCACTAAAGTAGATTGTCTTCTTTCCGACTGATGTTCTTGTTTTTTTTTGCAAGAAACGTTTTTTATGTGCGAACTTGTTTTATAAATTTTTTTTAAAACGATTGACCAAAAACGCCAAGGTAAACAAGACCTCGATAAAAAAAATGGTAACTTTGTATACCTTTTTCAAAGCGATCAACTTCTCTCGACTTTTTTACAGGACGGCTTGACTGCTGTGTTATATATATATATATATATATATATATATATATATATATAGATGCATATAGAGGGAGAGGGAGAGAGAGAGAGATACTACTTTTTAAAAAGTAAATGATGAATGAACGGTAAATAGGTATGGAGAGTAAACGGCATTTAAAGGT